CTGAGGCCTCCGTGTGACAGCCCAGCCCCACACGACGGCAAAGCCAGGCACAGGCCGCGCTCCCCCTCTGCTGTAACCATTCGAGGGTCAGTTGTTAGAAAGTGGAGGGGAGAGGCGGCCATTCCCAAATGTTTTTGTTTTGTTTTTTTAAATCATGAAATCCCTAATTATATTTTACCCCTTAGATAAAATCGCTGAGAATTTTCCAGTGTTTTGCAAACACTTTTTTTACTTTAGTTTCCTCCTTTACAGTGAGTGGTCCGCCCGTTGAGCCTTCAGCGGAGCTTCAAACCTCACTCCCTGCCTTCGTCACATCCAGCAGTTTCCATCTTAGTTGCAACTAGGTGACGTTTAAGAGAACCCCGCTGCTTACTGCTAATATTGGCACTTTCGGTTTTTCCCATTTTCCACTCATTTTTATAAGTGATGGGGCAAGCCAATATATTAGTAGATAAGTAGCACAAATAAAAGCAAGCATGCAGGCATAGCTGAGCCACTGCCCGCCCTCAGCCGCCCGGCCAGCGGGGAGTGCCCTCTTAGGGCGTGCACCTTTGCGGCTAACGTGCTAGCCCCGGCCTCGGCGGATGGTTTGAGTCATCAGTGTGTGATGTGTGAAGAGGTTGCTACCTGCCTCTGTGGGTACTGACCTGTCCCCCTCTCTCAGCCTCCAGAGTGGAGACAGAAGCCTGTAGGGGAGGGGGTTAGCAGGTGTTCGACAACGGACCTGCCATAGACAGACTGTTACAGGCCGCCCTGCTTATGGAATGCCTGTGTCCCTGGCAAGGTGAGAGTTGCATTTTTGTAAGTCACATCTCTAATACGTAAGAGATCCCTGGAAACAATCCATTTTACAAAGAACCGTATCTCACCGATGCTGTCAGTAACTTCATGCTGTCGCGTATCAGTTCGGTTTTCTTAAAGTGAGTATCTGCCGAGACACAGCTGCTCATGCTCTGGAGACAGAGGGGACGGTATTGCTGGGGTAAAATCGCTCAGAATCGTCAGGAAAAGATAGGCGCTTGCAGGGGCATTTAATTACAATAGTGCCATCAGTTAAGGATTTTGCAGGTGAAAGAAATTGTGTCCAGTTTGGGTCCTAAAACACGGCACGTGGTCGTTCTGATTTGGGTTTCCTTGGCCAGCAGACGAGGCCTCGCCCATGGCCAGGGCGCACTGTCCTCCTGCCCGGTCCCCTCTCCTGTGTTCTGACCGGGCCGCGTGCAGTGACCCTCGCTGGAGCCTGGTGGCCAGCTCAGAGGTCAGCCTGTTGAGCGGAATAGTTGGGATTCCTGAGCAGAGCTGTGCCTTGATTTTGTTTGTTTAAGCATGCGTTGCTGGGTCTTCAGGCTGGCTCATTCCCAAATATGGTATCCGTCCATCCTGTGGCTGCCGACACCCAGATGCAGCCCAGCCTCGGGGGTCCCGCGGGACTTGGCCCAGAATACTCGGTCTCGGCACGAGTCCTATTGTTCACTGGCGTCACTGGACAGCGAGCGCTGGTAAGACTGTGCGCAGAGGGATCCCCGAAGGCCTGCGGAAGCGCTGAGCCGCTCACAGCCGGGCTTCAGCCCCTCGGAAGGAAGTTCATGGCTAAATGCACAGAAGACAGCCTGTGTGGGAAGAGGACGGGACCGTCGCTGGGTCTGGGGGCGCTGTCGTGTCAGCTGCTCCAGCTCCTGGCTTCTCTGGCGCCTCCGGAAAGCACTGAGCCCTATTTTTAGAGCCGGCCTGTCTCGGGGGATGTGCTGCTGCTGCAGAAATTCAGGAGCAGCTGCAGCAGACATTCTGACTTAAAGGACCCATTTATAATGCGGAGGAAGCTTGGTTACCAAATGAGAGAGGATGGAGTGTTCGGGTGGATCAGCTGCTTCAGACCTCATCTCCTGGAAGCCCTGAGCTTATTCCTTCTCCTGGTGGTTGCGTACATGCCGCCCTGTCCCTGCCCATAGCGTGTGTGTGTGTGTGTGTGTGTGTGTGTGTGTTGCTTGTCACGCTCAGCTGCCCATGGAGGAGAGGGAAGAGGGCCTCCCTAACTGGAGGAAGGGTACAGAGAGCAGCAGGTCCAGGAAGTGTGGCTCACGGCCCGGATCTTCATCCCACTCGCCACTCGCAGGGGGCATGTGCAGATCCGTCCAGATAATGTATATAAAGGTGCCCCGGGGTTTAGGAATCATTAACGTTAGCATGATGGCGGGGCGCCATGTGCTGGGCATGACCTGGGCAGCAGGCCACGACCCTCCAGTGTGGACTCTCTGTGCCGACAGGATCGCTTTGGCCACCAGTTTTCAAACCTTTCGGGTATGGGAACCTCCCACCGCCAGCCCAATGCAGGAGTCCATACAACTGATACAAATTCTGTTCTGTTCACGGCATTTATCATTTCTTTTCAAGTTAGATGTAAAGTCAGCGACAACGAGCCTGTGTACACACAGGTAGGAACGGCCCTGCCGCGGGAGCAGCAGTGGCTCACACTTTGTGTCCACGTTGCATTCTGGTGGCACCGTCCAGAGAAAATCCGTCGTAACACGGCAGCTGTTGTTGAGAGGGCCTCTCCTGTAGCCATAAGAAACCCTGAGGGCGACAGGTGGCAGCTTTAGTAAGACAGCTGATGACAAGCCCCTCCTGGCGCACATCCCCCGGGTGGGGCTCTGGGATGGAAACGGCTCGGGCGTCTGTGGGGCAGGTATGGGCACCTCTCTGTGACACGGGAAGAGGTGGCGTCACAGGCCCAGTGCCCTGCGACCCGCGGGAAGGTCTGTGGGGACACCTTTGTTCCTTGGAGGAACTGCTCTCTGTCATGCATCAGGCCCAGACGTCGGGTTTATATCCTGTTGTGTGTGTGGCTCCCAGGGCTTCACGCTGCTGGGCTGATGGGAAGTCGGAGTAGGCAAGTCCGCCTGTGCTGAGAGGGGTTCTGAGGAGGAGGGCCGAGCCGTGCGTGCGGAAGGCTGCAGTCCTCAGTACTTGGCTGCCCGGGTCTTAGGTGCAAGAGAGCAGGACACCAGGAGAGCCGGACGCAGACCAGGGGCTCGCACGGAGCCGGGCCCACACCTGGGCCTCTCCCAGGACCGCCGCAGCCGTGCCCAGCGTCACCCCAGGTGTGAACAGTCACCCTGTGCCTGTACTGCTGTGTTTTGTTTCTTGGAGTCGATGTTTAGTTTGTGAAACGGACCCCTTGTGTTGCATTTAGCGGCATAGTGTTTATGGTCTTTGCTTGGCCATTCCACTAGTTAGGATGCCTCCTACTGTTGACGGCCCGCTGGGTTGCTTCCAGCGGGGGCTGCGTGAGCCCGTTGCACGTGCGTCTCAGTGCACTCCGCGGGCACCCACCCCCGGCACGTGTCTCCAAGGTGCAGGGTTGCTGGGTGGGAGCGTGTGTGCACCTTCAGCTTCACTCGGTGGTGTCGGTGGGTCCCCCGGTCCTCAGCCCTGCAGCGGCATGGGAGCGCCCCCGCTGTCCCACACGCCTGCCTCGCGGTTACGATAAGGTGGGCACCTGCCCCGTAAGCTCATTGGCATTCGGATGGACTTCGCCTCTGCGAGCGCCTGTTCCTGTATCGCCCCGTCTTCACACCGAGAGGCCGCACTGGTTAGTAGGAGCGCGCGATCTGTTCTGAAAGCTGGAATTTGTTAGCATGAGGATGTATCTAAACAC